ATGAGACAAAGCGAGGCATGTGGCACAGTCCAAAAGGAGGCAGGATCTCAGGGAATGATGTGGCTGAGAAACCACCATGAATTAGGAAGAATGTGATCGCGGCTGGAGTTTCCACAGGAAAAGCAGGGACCTGAAGGGCTGGCAGCTTCTGATCAGAGCAAAAGTTAGGTGACCCTTCCTGCAAGAAGCTTATGACTCAGGGAGATTCTATGAATAAGGGAAAGCATTGCTGAGGATGCAATGCAAGTTCAGGGGAGGGGCGAAGGACAGGGGGTGATGGCTGCATGTACACAGCACTGGGAGCACAGTGCTGCATGTTACAGACACAACCATCTGTATGTGTTTGCTCATATTTTGAATGGACCCTGAGAAGTAGGTCGACCTTATATAAGGAAGGGATGAGAAACTCTGAGATTACAGAGAACAGATGTCAGCTTTAGCATCTGGGCAGCTCGGTCAGCTGAAAAGATTAAGAACAGATAACAAGCCCTGTGACTCCTCCTTCATGGAACACTCATGGTATCAAAGGAGGAGAAGAGGAACAGAGCCCCAAACCTCCTCAGACCTAAAAGCATCCAGCACAATTGGACAGAGGCCGGAGGGATGATTAAAAATACAGGAGGAGGGTTAAACCACTGGAATAACACTGGGCACTTTGTTCTCTGCAAGCAGACCTACCCCTGAGATTTTCCATTTGCAGCACATTGATATGGGCCTCTGCAGATCACCCCGGCTGCTGGAGAGGATGCGGAGTACACTGCACATCCATCACTCAGGCCTGAGTCTCACTGCCTTGTGGCTGGAGGGGTTCTGCCAAAGGCTCTCAGCTAATTCCATCTGCCAATGACAGCCGCCTTGCCAAGATGGCATTCCTGGGTGTACAGGGAAGAGAACTCCCATGCATTAAGTAATCCAAGGTTGTCTCCATGTGGGCTGTTTCTGAAGGGCTAATCTAATGTCAGAGCTCTTATTTGGGGGCCAATAAACTCAGGGATGAACCTCAAAGGAAAATTCCATTCTCTGTTCCCTTGTGAGGGGCAGCCTTTATAGTCTCAGATTTGGGCTTCCTTTGTCCATATCTACAGAACATTTATCACTTATGACTGAGATCTTAGCTGGTGAGGCCTGGTTGCTCTCTGGACTAGGCTGAGCCATCACAAGGGCATGGACTTAGGAACTGGAGCAGGAGGCTGAGTGGGGCCTGGGCCAGTTCACAAAGGGGACGTCCAGACTTCAGACAGGCTTGCTGGGAAGTGGGGTGTCCTATAAGGAGCAGAGTCCAGAACTCCACCCTATGAGGTAAAACCTTAGAAGGAACAGTAGCGGAGACAAGAAACCCATGATTGTCGTATCACAGGAATCCGGAAGTCCTCACTACTAGAAACACCCCTGGGTGTGGGTGAACACTCTTTCAGAAGGTACCTGTCAACAACTTGTAAGGGGACATGTTTCCATGGCATTTGTCAAAAATAAAATTTAAAAACTACAAATTGTATTGTAGTAAGCTTCAGACTATGCTCTGCCTCAGGCTCACCCTGGCTGCGGGCTAAAATGCAGATTGCTGGGCTCTACCTTCAGAGTTTCTTAATCAGTAGGTCCAGCACGGAGGTGCAGTGTGCATCTCTAGTAACTTACTCCAGGAGCTGAGACTTCCGGTCCCCAGAAAAAAAGGATGAGACACTTGAAGAACATAGTCCACGCTTGCGTTCATTCCTTGTGCCTCTGCTTGCTCAGGTCGTCTCTCTAGCATCCGGCTTGGCTTCTTGGTGGTGAGGACTGGTACTCTGTGGACTCAAGTCACGAGCAGAGGCTCTGATCCTCACATCGAAGGCGGGGAAGTGGGGTTGATAAGCAGGGCTGGGACTGTGCAGTTTGCACAGAGTATGAAGGTGACTGCAGGGGGCACAGAGGGATGGGGACTCAGCCGGCACACCCCTACCCCAGCGGGTGCGGCAAGGGCTGCCCTTGCCTAGCAGGGCTGTTGCACAAAGGGTCCTCTGCCCCTCAAGCCACCAACTGCCTGGGTGTGGCAAGGGATTTGTCCACTCAGAATGTGGGCCAAGGCCACGAGCAAGCTCCCACAACCCTAAATTGCACAGGCAGAGTGAGCACCTGGTTGAGGGGCCCTTCTCAAATCCACTCAAGTCCTGGGGGCAAGCATGAACCCACGAAGAAGGGCCGGGCTTCTTCAAAGTGAGTGACACTGGGTCGGCAGCTGAGCTACTTTTTCTTTGCCTTAGAAAATGCTTATTTGCCTTAGTTGTATTTCCTCTACCTAAGCACGGAGCAGCTCATTACCATTTGTTGCCTGGCTCACACCACCTGGGGGTAGAGCGCACAAAATTCAATTTGCCAGGGGCTTTCCTCTAAACCTACTGAATCAGAGAACCTGGGGTGTGGTCTGGTTGGCTGTGTTTTAACAAGCTCTCACCACTCAGGTGAATCTGATAGGCATGGCTTCAGAGTCTGTTTGATTGATTGACTGATTGATTGATTGATTGATTTCTGAGATAGGTCTCACTATGCAGTTCAGGCTGGCCTTGAGCTTACTATGTAGCCCAGGCTGCTCTCAAACTTATGGCAATACTCCTGCCTTAGCCTCCTGAGTGCTAGGATTACAAGCATGCACCAGGTTGCCTGGCTTTCAGTCTGCTATTTTAGTGAGTTTCTAGGTAATGTCGATGCTTCAGATCCATGGCCTCCTTTGACTACAGGGTCTATATTAGAACAATGGTTGTTGATCTTGACTTCTGTCTTACTCCAGGCTGCTGTGAAAAAGATCTTTGGCAAATGGGAAGGGGATTAAGAGATGGAAGAAGGCAGGATATGAGGGGGTGGGTACCTAAGGAGAAAGAAGATGGGTCATGTACATGTACCAGCTACCCACAATAAATGTATTCATGATGTACTGCAAACCTGTAATAAAAATAAAATGAAAGAAAAAAGTATTGTAGACCAGGCAGTTTATAGATGATAGATGCTCACGTACACAGTTCTGGAGGTCCCTCTTTGGGTGGGGCCCAAGCATCCATATGTATTAACATAAGATTCAGTGTCTGCTCCAGACTGGTTTCCTGGCCCATAGATGGTGCCTTCTCGCTGTGTCCTCACACAGTGAAGGAAAGCGGCCCTTGGCTCTTTTAGGAGGATTCTTGTCTCTCTCCTCCCCAAAGCCCCGCCTTCTCAGACCTTCACAATGGTAGTTAGATTTTGAATGTATGAGTTTTGGAGAGACAAACATTCAGCCCACAGCAACTTCACTGGTGATCATGTTAACATATGGATGCTTGGGTTCCACCCACAGAGGTTCTGAGCCAGCTGTGAGATGCCTGGGTGGGAAACTGAGACTTGTGAAACTGACTCACTGCTGATGGTCAAAGGCAGCCAGAGGCCAGGGGGCCCTGGTCTGGAGGCAAACAGGGCAGACTCTTAGTAGGACATAAGTTAAGGGGAAGTCAGAGGAAGAGTTGTGGAACAATCTGTTCCTTCTGGCTGACAAAAGCTCGGGTTTGCGGCAAATGGCACATTCATTTTGAATGAGTTGCTCCTTGTTTGAAAGGGGGCTTCTGGGGCCCGGATTTCACATTCCCAGAAGGAATAATGATGCCGCACGGCAAAAACAAGGATTCTAGTGCAGTGTGGGACCTGCAGGAGACAGCTGGCTCCCTCTACCAGTTCCAAGTTCCTTTTCCTTGCTTCCCAACTAGGACTGGGTTTTTGTCTTTGGTATTTTTACCTCTTTAATCTTTCACCCTCCTCGGCTTAGTACTCAGATTCCACTTTATAGTTTAACCTGTAAACTACATGTTAGTTGTCATGGAAGACAACATCTTGACTTAGCCTGGATGTTGTTGCAAATTCCGAAAAGGGCAGCAGAGCCTGTGGTCAGCACGTGGGGCCACCCTGGGGACAGTCCCTGCGCCACACACCCTGGTGATAGAGCCGTGGATGACGAATACCTGCTTCTGGGCATGCGCAAAGTCGGGTTGGGTTGTTGGCTTCAGCGTTCCAGGACTTTGGCGCAAGAATGCTGTATTTTTATTTTCTTATTCCAATGGCCATTGCATCAAGGTCAGAATGAGGCTGTACTAGTGAACAAAATCAGTTTCTGTAAGTGGCAAGACACATAATTTGTACTATTTAAAAATAAACATATTTCCTGGAAGAGCAGGGCAGGTAATTGATACTGGAAATGAATTTCAAAAAAACAATGCTGCTCAAAATTATATAGTAAGTGAAAAAGGTATCAGAACAGGTAAGTAGCACACTAATTTGGTCAATTTTAGCACAACTACTATTACAAAAGGGTGAGCGATATAATTAGGAGAAATCCCTCCTTGCAGCTTAAATTTAATGTAGATGTTTCAAACATTTAAAAAATGTCCACAGAATTATTGGCCATCCATCTTTTTTTTTTCTGATTCATCCGTTTCAATCAACTCTTCTTTGACGAAATTATTTATCCATGTCCAAAAATAAACATGGTGATTTTCTTGAAACAGTCATATAAAACCACTCCGTGAAAAGGCCTTTCTGCCCCGGGCGCTTGTCCCAGGGCCCATCAAATTAGAGTGTGTTCACCTGCGCTGGGCCCTTGGCCATGGGGCAGGGCCTTTGGTTTGCCTTTTAAATGAGTAGTTTTTTAATTTAGGATCTGGAAGCCGATAGCAAAGGTTAGGTGGCCAATAATGATTACTGTGGGTCCTTCTAACAATTTTAAACAAAAGAACCTGGTGTTGTCTCAATGAAATTGTTTTAATTCACTGACTTTTCAGAGGCTTCCCAGCCCTCCTCGGTTCCTGGGGCGTGCAGTAAGTGGCACCGCTCGGCGATCCGAGGCGGCCAGCGCCATCGAGGCCACTGCAGCTTGGGACAAGCGGGGGCCAGCGCCCGAGGAGCGGGCCGCGGCTCCGAGGCCGAGCGAGGCTGAGGCCTGGGCGGGGCGGGGCGGGGCGGGGCGGATGCCAGGCTGCGGGCGCGCGCTGGGTGCGGGGCGCGCGGCTGCTGACGGAGGCGTCACGGCGGCGGGAGGAGCGCGCCCAGTCCGGGAGGAGCCGCAGCCCGGAGCCCGCCGCGGTCCTGCGCGAGCCGAGTCGGAGCCGCCGAGCGGAGCGGAGCGGAGCAGATCGTGGTCTCCCCAGGTAATGACTCCCTCCTTCGCGGGGCCGGGCCGCGTGCGCCCGGGGCAGGGCGGCGGGGAGCTTTGTTCGGTAGCCCCTGAAAGGGAGCAGCGAGCCGGTAGCTTAAACTGGAGTTGGCAGGAGGGAAGAGGGCTGGATTTCTGCGTCCATGTCGGGGTGGGTGAGCACCAGGCTCGCCTCGGTATCTTACTCATTACTAGGGATTCCTTCTAAAGCAGCAGTTCCCGTTTTGGAAAATTCTATGGTTGCAGGCGTTTCTGTGGAGTGGAAGTGGATTTGATGGATTTACAAAGTCATTCGAAGATGTGGTCCAAAGTGAGAAAAATGCAAAGCACATTGAAGGCTGCTTGCCTTTCGGGCTCAGCGTGTTTGCATTCTCCACTCCTATACTTCCTGGGCTGGGGGGGGGGCACAGGTCTAGATATTTGATTTCTCTTTTTAAAGAATGGTGCTCCTTTGCGTTTCCTCCTTGTGCCAGTGGAGGACAGGCAAGGCGCTGCGTCCAGGGCTTGGTTGTCAGGCTGTAGTTTCCCTCAGTGACGGGGCTGCCGAGTACTCGGCGAGGCTGCAGAGTAGCTGGCTGCACGCGGCGCGGTTATCCGCGCATCCTCGGCTCCCCGGAAAGCTCCTTCCCCTTAAAACTCCAATCTGCTTTCTATGGGGGCTTGGGAGACTTCTAAACTAGAAGCTGAAGAATCATTTGTATCATGCCCTGAATGGAGAAATGCAGCGTGGCTCTCAGTGGTGGAATTCAGGTCCCACCGTGCAGAGGCACAGCCTGCATTCCTGAGGAATTTTTACCTAGCTGCCCTGGTTATCTTTCAAAGGGACTCGCCCTGCCTGTGAGAATCTACAATAGCACATCAGAACTTTTCTGGGTTGGCTTTAAAAATAACTTCGAAAACATTATTTTTCAGGAATATTTTCTAGGTAACAATAAAAGGCTGGGGCATTTTATATCCAAATCAGTCCAAATGTGCTTCTTTTCCAGTAGCATTTGGATTTGAAGAGGTGGAGTGGGAGGGAGAGACAAGAGGAGGATAAAATTAGAATAAATTTAACAAATTTGTAAGGGAATCATACTATTTTTTGTTATTGCCTGAAATTGCAAATTGTGCACAGTTCTACCCATCCTGTGCCTGACTCTGCAGGGATCTTTTGAGCTGGGGTACAGGAAGACCCCATTTCATCTCAGGAAAGTAGAAGATAGGATAGCAAGGGGACCTTTGGATCCTGCTTCATAGATGGCATTTAACTGGGTTCTGGGGCCATGTTTCCTGGTGAACACAGGGAAGGAGGGTGCCAGGGAGGGGCCGTTTCGAGAGCTGCTCACTTGTCCCTGCACATGGGAATTATGTATGGAGGGCTGCTTGTGGGAGCCTCCAGAATCCACTCTTATTACTGCGTTAATAGAATTGTTCCTAAAAAGAGACTCAGAAGACACACAGATCGAAGCCGGAGCTCTGGAAGGACTTCTCAGCAGCTGCAGCAGAGCCATTTCAGCACAGGAAGGCTGAGGGCAGCTTTCCATTCTCGAGTGCCAGCCCTACCCTGCACACCACACAGATGCCCTGCTCCGTTAGAAGTAGATTATTTCAGGGGTACCTGATGCACATCTTACTAAATGATGAAAATGTTTGAAAAATAATGAAGGTTTTTTTTTTTTATCAGAAGGAAATTGTACCTGTGATAATTACAATATATTGCTCATTCTTCTTCTCATTTTGGTGCCATGGTTGAGATATTGAGAATTAACCTATTGATTTTGAGGCAAAACCATCATTTCCCAGAAATGAAAGCAGTGCATTCCTGCACCTAAGAATTTCTTTGTGCCAAAGAGGAGCAGTTGGTTGCTGGGAGGTGGCGGGGTGGGGGTGGAGGGGAGAAAGTGCTGGCCTGTAAGTCTGAACTCAGCCAGTATCTCCTGTTGTCACTCAGGAAGGAGTCTGGCTCTGTCCACAGATCATCTGTCTCTCTGGTCACAGTATTGAGTGTGGACAGATGTCTCTTTCAGGGTTGAACTGATTTCTATGATATTAGTTGGTTTTGACTATGATTTCCCCAGGAAAACAGCTGCTCTTAATCAAAGGGGAAGATGATGGTTTTTGTGTTGTTAAATTGCTGATGTTCTTTTAGAAGTTAAATTTATTGACACATGCATGCGTATTTAAACATGAGTTTTAAATCATATAATTGTTTTCATATAATGTTTTTGTTTTAATCATGTGCCATGCAAGCCTTTCACTGACCAGGTAAGAAGTCTTTAAAGTGCTTGGAATAAATGCTCTCTTGTTCTCTTCCTGGCTGTCACCTCTGTAAATTCAGAAAAGAGTCCTTGTATCTCTGGCTTCAGTGCAGCAAAGTGTTCTGTAGAACAGCACTGTCCAAAATATGTGAGCCGCATGCATAATTTAAAGTGTCCTGTGAGTCACACAAGAAAAGTAAAAGAAAACGGGTGAATTTTAAAAACATATTTTCTTTAAACCAATATAAACCCAATACAAGGGTGCAAGAGAGCACAAAGGTAAAGAGAAGCCAATAGCCATTTAAAGATGTAATCAATACAGAACACCAATCAGATATTTCCTCCTTCTCCCCATACTAAGTCTTATACTTAGAGGGCATCTCAAGTTGAATTAATCGTGCTTCAAATGCTCAGCAGCCCATGTGGCTAATGGCTACCATATTGGCCAGCACAGTTTGTGATTGTCAATCAATTGACAGAGCGATTTAACAGCTAAAATGTTAGGAGCCACTGCCAACTAAATATTTCCAAAAATAAATACACAAATAGTGTCAAATTGGTATGAGACATGTGTCCGTTCCTTTTTTGCCATTAACGAGTTGTGTAAACTTGAACCTATTATTTACCTTTTTATCAGCCAAACAAAGGACAGAACCAAATACTTCCTGTTACTCTATAAAGAGTAAACTGGTGGATCCGATTTGCTTGCCCACTGAAGGGGTATTGTGGCAGAAATAAGGGGAACAGGAGCATCCTGGGCATCACCATCCTGCCCCTTATTAGCTCCAGCCCAGTAGCTGGTGACAGAGGTCAGCAGCAGAGGTCCCGTGCCATCAGGATCATTCAGCTTCCACAATTCCCTGGGGAAGTAGCAGCAAACCCACTGTAGAACCAATAAGCAGCTAGCAGGTCATAATTTACTGTATGGCTGGATATAGTCCACAGATCTTTAGTAATATCCTTTGCTGGTGCAAGTATTTTCAGTTTTTGTCTGTTTATTTTGATGCTAGTATGTAAAAGTTGGGTGAGGTGTAATGCTTTGTAACAGACCCATGAATACTGCATTATTGAAACATAGAAATTAATGAGTTTAATGAAAAGATGTTAGTTTCTTCACCCAGCCTCTGTGGTCAAGAAATGCTGGGCAGTAGACACTGTTTCCATTCCGGGGCTGTCTCAAACTTAGATGGGAGAATGAAAGAGAAGAACGGTTTGGATGAAGAAATTTAAGGCAGTATTTTTCTAAAGCTAATGAACGTCTGGAAAATGATTACTTTTCTGTGGAAATGAGAGAATTCAGGAACTTTCCATTAGACTTTTCCACAATAAACACACACACACACACCCCCCCCCTCATACAAACACACATGCATACCGCATCCACCACACACAAACACACTGTTCTTCAGCTTCTCCAGAAGAGTCCAGAAGTTTATTAGAGCTCGAAGGTGTCCTCGGAGGTGGGGGAAGAGAAACTTTTCTTTGTCATCCTTGCTTTTTTTTTTTTAATTGGAGCACCCTTGTGACTTTTGAGTTTAGGGATTTATCTGCAGGTGACACTAAGCAAAGAAGAAAGGTTATCAGAATCCAGGTGTCTGCACCCAAAGCCAACCCAGGCAGAATTTACTTAGCTGTCTATGACATAAAAAAAAACTACCCTCATTAAAAATCCCATCGATGATGTTTTGCTGTTTTGAATAAACTTAGGTTATCTCCCCAACCCTACAGCCACCTGCCACCTCAGTCACACATACAGGTAAAGTCAGCTGGTGCATTACCCCTTGGCTGTGTGATAGTCCCCTGAGCTTTAAAGGAAGGGTTCTATGGAAAAATCTCCTGCGACATAAAGGACTGGCCAAGCATTTGCTTCCTTTTGTTTACTTTTGTGCCCTTTTGCAGCCTTTTATTGACTTCATGGTGTTCTCCTTTTAGACCGAATGGTGCTTACCAAAGGCTGGGAAGAGTCGGGGAGGGAGAGATGCTGAAGAGTTGATCAATAGATACTAAGCTACAGTTAGATGGGAGCAAGATGTTCTGGGTTCGGGTACGCTGTTGTACAGGAGGGCCGCAATAGGTAACAGCAATGAACTGCACACTTCAAAAATCTCCAGGAAAATACTTGGAAAGTTTCACCCTAAAAAATGAATGATTGAGGAGAGAGATGTGTTTAATTTGACTTAAACATCACACAGTGTACCCATGTATCAGAATATTACATTACCCTGTTAATGCATAAAATTTTTGTGTTTTATTAAAGTAGCAGTTAAAATAAATTTAACTGAAAGTTAAAAAAGAATTAATGGGAGAAGATAAAATATAAAACTAACATTACCATATTAATAAGGTCTTTGTAAATGTTTTCAACAGAAGTTTGGAACTACTTAGTGACAGAAATGTCTGGGTGACCTAGATTTTGAAAAGAACCTGAATTTCACAGACTGTCATGATAATCAAGTGTTTTTAAAACTTTTCCCAGATAAGTTTTACATTTGACACTCGCAGATAACACTCTGTGGTTCTTTTACTCTTTTAAATGTTTGTTAAAATTATTTCTGTATACCTACACAACAATTTCAAGATGTGGAAATAAATTAGGTTGTTGGAAAAAATATTTAAACATAAAGAATGAAAATGTAAATGGGGGAGAATTTTTAGTGATCTCGGAGAAGAATGATCCTAACCTAGGATATGAACAAAGGGCATTTTGTTAAATTGGTTACAAAGAGATTTTAAATTTCTGTGAGGAAAATAACCA